CGCTCTTCCAGGAAATACATTGCCTAGTAGCACTTCACTAAATAAACTTTTTGGAAGTTGGTTGGTATGTTGAAATTGAGTCTTCTCAGTGGAAAAACTACTGTTTTTTCCAGTACTTCTCAGGCTTCAAGGAATGCCCGTGCTGTGTCTCTTGCTGCGGGCAGCACAAGGGCTGGATCTGCTGGGCCATGGCCCCAGGGGAGATGGGGAGCAAGGTTGGGCTTTGCCTGGGGATTTGCACCCATGGGTGAAGTGACAATGCCCTAACACACCTGCCTTGCACTAGGACACGTCTCTATCCATGTCGGTTGCTTGGAGCTGTTGCACTTGGTAGGACTAAGCAAATGTTGGATGGTGCTGAGAGGGGCAGCCTGCGGCTCTGGCTTGGCCTGCGGTTCGTGTGCCCCGTCTAAAGCAGCTGTTTGGGGTTGATCCACCCAGAAGCTTAATTCCTTAAACATCCTAGGATCTTTCTTAAGCCTTTCATTAAAAACAATCCCTATTTCTTAAGCTCCCTCCTTGTACAGAGTGTGAAAAATATTTTGAAACCTCATAGCTGTTTCTCCATCAGCTCTGCTGGGATATTAGCTCAGTAAATAAGCAGGTCTCTCAAGGAGTTTATTTTTGCTGTAGAAAACACCTCCTTCAAGGGCTGATATGTGATATTCTAGCACTTCAGGAATAAGTACATGCCAAAAAATAGATCCGTGGAAGGAAATTAACTTTTTTCCTGCCTCCTCCCTTACGGAGGCGTGCGGAGCGGCGCATCCGTTGTGCATTGCCCGGCACGGGAGCCGCGGAGCTGGAGAGCCCCTGGGGCTGAGACGGGGCCTTGTGAGGATGAGGACGGGTTTGACCCGGCCCCAGGCTCCGTGGTGGGGGGACGGGGTCGCTGAACACGGGATACCGGCGGCTCTGGCAAACCCCAACTCGCGCTGCTGCTTTTGCAGCCCCTCTCTGCTTTTGTGCCTTGGGTTGAGCGGGGAGGGAGGCGTTTTGACCGGTTGTGCGTGGATGTTATTGCCCTAATGCAACAACCCTGGGGGATGGCTAGGAATTGCAAAGCCTGTCCCTTGGGCAGTGCAGGAGGTGGGTGAGACGGGGCTTTTTTCTTGTCTGACTTGCGCTGAATGGCCTAATTTAATGGAAAACTTACAAATCACTGCATTTTTACTTGCCTTTTCTGTAGAGATGTCCAGGATCTCTATTTATTTAACATAACACTAGGCCAGGGGCTGCGTGCACATGGCATAGCCACCGTCCATGTAACAAGAGTCCTCAGAGGCAGGGTACAGGCCAAATCCTAAATGAGATAGTGTTAAACAGAGCCAGAATAACACTTTACAAACCCAATGGGAGCAGGTTGCCATGTCTCTAAGTGAGCTGCCCTGATGCAGTGTTTTCCCAAAACCATTCTGGCCACCAAAAAAATAAAAATCCCATTAGGAATTGCTGGAGTTTTGTGACAGCTTAAGAAAATCTAAGAGCGCTTTCCTGTTTTTAAATATATTTTTATTACTTTTTTTTTGTTTGTCTTAGAAAGAAATATGAAATCTGCATGCAACGTTCTAAATATTTCAAACATTTAAATAGCATATGATAATTTAGCAGTACAGTACATTATACAGAAAGATAATATAGGGAGATTTCCTATAGTGTATTTACAAATGGAAAGGTAGTTTTGTTATTGTATTTTAAAAAGAGGAATGCACTGCTTAACATTGAAGTATTACATTCAAAATAATGAATATGTTGTATTGTGGCTATAACACATAGATATTTGTTTACCTTATCATATTTTTCATAAAAAGGTACCTTTTAAAGGTTTTTTTTGCTACAAATCTAGGAGATCATACACAATAGTCTTGACGCTTAAAATATCTCGGTACCGAAGCTGCAAACTTGCCGTAAGAGCTTCGAGTGGAGAAAGAAGAACAAATGTTTTTCCTTAGTAATAAAAACAGCCTAGAAATGCTCTCTAGTGTATGCAGCGTTCAATGGGACGCCGGAGCCTTCGCCCTGCAGCAGGAGCCCAGGTCACCACGGAAGGGCTGGGACAAGTTGCCAGGGGACCTCATTCCTGCAGCTCTCGCCCCGTAGAGCTGCATCTCGGGGGCGTTTTGCCCAGCAGAGCAGTCCTCGGGCCCCGGGTTGTCTCGCTGCATTTGGGGCTGCAAATGTGACAAACGACCCCAGCACCGAAGCTGTCCCAGGGCGGAACGGGGACGAACGCGACCGTCTAACACCTACAAGCAGCCGTGTTGGTCTAATGAGCTTATAAAGCTCGATTGCAATCATAGTGAAGTATGAATGAATAACAGTAAAAAAAAAGGAGACCTCTTTAAAATGAAAAGCATGAGTTTTCCCGGTCTCGGTACAAAGCAGACGGGTGTGAAACTGGAAGTGCAAGAGATGCTTGTGAAATCTGGAAGCCTTTTGCACGTGGCTATAAAATGTAAAAACTGACCCTTGGTAAAAAGTGCTTTATAATAATATAGAATTTGTGTCTTATGTCTGTGAGAGAAATTGTCTTCTGCGGAGCCCAGTCCTACGTGAGCCGGGAGGCTGGTCCGTTCCCGCGACGTTTCCTTCTACTCTTCGTAAACCCTGGCAGGAAGGAAAGCAGAGAGCAAGGCATTTAAACTGCTTTAACAAGGAGCAAAACAACCCCCCTGCAGGTGATTAAAAACTAGGAGCCAATTTTTTAGCCTTGGCTTAAGGAAAGTGGGAAGGAAGTTGCTGCCTGCAGCAGTCGCCAGGTTCCTCTGATGCGGGTCGGAGTGGGGCTCTGGGACACGTAAGATCAGGAATTGGGTGTCTGATAATATCGGAAAATCCCTACTTCATACAGGAATGCTAGAGGATGTCATGAGCTGCGCGTTTGAATTAGAGTATATGCTATATTCCGAATAGCTGGCATGTTTTGAATAGTATTAATCCAGTTTGCATCCGGAGAAGACAGCTCGACAGTGCAGCTTTCCATAAAACTGCTGACAAACCCTGGGCTCTGCAGGTGACAGCAGCATGAGGAACATGAGGGGCACTTGCAGCTGAGCTATTGCAAACGCAGGGGGATGGCAGGGAGGTCGTGATGCTGGAGAGGGGAATGCAGGACAAGCCTAGGGCTGGCAGAGGCCAAATGCCCAGGGTATTTCATGGCTATAACAGCCTAATGCCGAGCCCTGCACGCAGAGGGAAAGAAACGGCATCAAGAGCGTGCATTAACGGTTGCAATTTCAGAATGAAGTCGGTGGGGAGCAGCGGGGCCGCTTACCTGCCCTTCTCCTTCCACACTCGGTACCACTTGAGCAGCCGCACGGTGCTCTGGCGCTTGGGGTTGAGGCAGTGCTGCTGCTCGCCGCGCACCCGCGTCCACAGCGTCACGCTGCAAGGGGAGCAGAGCCGTCACGGGCGCGCGGGCACGACCCCCCGGGGCCCTGGCGCTGCTTTGTGACCCTCAGAACCACGAGGGAGGTTTCAGGCCAGGCAGCGAGGGAGGGACCTTCCCGCTGCGTTTTGGGGGAGCTGCCTGTGCTTGCTGCACTGGTGTGGGATGGGATCCTCGGCTGGCGTGGGGCAGGATGACCTGGGCAATGAGCTACACCCGGTGAAGGCCTCTCCGTTACCCCAAATCCGTGGGTTTGCTCTGCGCCTGTTGGGCATCTAACTGCTGATTTAGGTGGAGTTACTCAAGCTACAAAATCTTTGCACTTTGCAAAACCCCTGATCCTCAGGGGGTGGTTCCCTGAGGATCAGCAGGCTGCATCCAGGAGAAAAGATCAGACCTGGAGCCATCGGGTCAGGCCGACCTGGGGCCTTCGACCTCCTCCGATCTCCCGGGTTCCGCCGGCAGCCGCAGGCCCCGTGTCCCTCCTGGCCACACGTGCTGGGAGTCTTCCCATCTCTGCAGGGTTCCACTGGTGACACCATCACTGCTGAGCATTGCTCAGCGTGTTGCAATTGTTGTCTTGCAACAACAGTTTTCAGTTTAACTAAAACAGTACAGTGGAAATTTTTAAAGGCTTGCAAGTTTTTAGGGACCTGAGGTCAGTGCAAAGCCCCTTCATGCAGCTGCTACTTTCTCGGCTAGTGGTGCTTGGAGGCTCTGCCTCATGCCAGAACCTGATACAGATAGGGCGTATTTCCATAAAGTGATGGACAAACTTAATCCCACGGAGCTGCAG